TGCTTCCTAAAGGACATTTTTTTAGATACCTTCAAGTTCGAAATTTTATCCGTAGCTCATTCCCAGAATTCCCTGCTCTTCCTAAGTCTTCAGATTTCGAAACGTTTCTGAAGCCTCTTTCTTCATTAAAGGGGGCAATCTCTTCTATTCATTTAAATATTTATAACCTCTGTCAAGGCTCTTCTACTGTACTTAAAACAGTTTGGGAGACAGATCTTGGAGAGGTGATTCTAGATGATGTTTGGGAGGAGATCTTTAGTACTTTATCCAAGGTAACTGGAAGGGATGTGACTCCCAATGCCTTAACTGCCCTGTTTGGTGTATGGCCTTTCCCACTTACTCTTTCCCCAGCTAAAAAGGACTTGATAGCATTCACAACTCTGCTGGCCAGGAGGTTGATACTGAAATCCCCAGTCCCACCTACCTATACAAACTGGGTTAAGGAGGTGCTTTATTTTCTTAAATTAGAAAAAATTAGACTGACTTTGATTGGTAAGGCTGTCTCATTTGAGAAGTCCTGGAATCCCTTCCTGTCTTATGTCAATAGCGCAAGATGTCTGATCACTGTGAACTAAGTACTGCAAGTACTGAGCCTGTGTGTGGATTTTTTATTTATTTATTTTATTAATTTTTTTTCCTTTAATTTTATTTATTTTTTTATTTGTATCTATATTTATTTTATTTTTATTTTTTTTACTACGGATTTATTATTTTTTAAATTGATATGTGTATGTATGTGTGTGTATGTGTATATATATATATATATATATACTTTATTTATCTGCCAATTTAGATATCTGTTCTTTGTTCTTTTTTATTGACCTTATTTATCTATTTATTGGTTTATTCATTTATTTATTTTTATTATTATTATTTTATTGATTTGATCTATTCTTTTATTAATTTATTTACTTGTTTGTTCGTTTTCCTCTCTTCCTCTATTAAGTCATCTTTTTTGTTTTTCTTTTGTTTGCTTTTCTTTACTTTTCAACTATATGTGCCCATCTGTTGGGGCTAGGTGCCGGTGGGAGGGGGGTGTGGGGGTTGGTATCTGTTCTGTGGTATGTTGAATTTACTTCTGTAATTATTATTGTATGGAACTGTATTGTTTGTTTGTTTTATAATTATGTAAAATCCAATAAACAGATTGTTCAGAATCCCCCAGGACAACCACCAGATCTGTGACCTCAAATGACCAAATCCGTATTTTTTGGATGGCATTTGGGTGACACTTTGGTCTTCTAAGTGGTCCCTGTCGAGCAGGTTCTGGGGCGGGAGGAGACTCCGGGTCGGCCCGGCTAGTGAGAGTAGTCTCCCTTCCAGGAGGATCCTCCCCTCCGGCTGTAGTGCTTCCCGAGAGCCCCTCCTCAATCCCACTGGATGTCAGTACTGCCACATTAGACAGCACATTAATATTAGCAGTAACAGTCTCCATCTCTAGCAACTGATCAGTATCTTCCAGTACACCTAAATCAAATGTCGGACATGGAAAAGGATCCTCCATATCCTCAAACTGGGGAAGAGAGTCAAGTCCATTCCTGGGGAGGACCGAACGATGGCTCCAAATCCGCTCCCCATCCTCCCTCCTCCGGTCCCAGCACGGCCCACAATGAACTCGCGCCTGCGCCCCCAAAGAAAACATCCCGCTTGTGGGGAAGGTGACTGGGTCCAGGGGGGCGGCCCGAGTTTGTGGTGGATGGTCCAGGGGGCAGTGGGCAGTGCAAGATCAGGGACGCTAGGGTTAAGGGTTAGGGTTAAATGGTTCAAAAGGTCAAAACACAGAGTATTTTCAGTGCAAGACTCATCCGCTGAGATGCCACCACCAGAGCGGTCATTCCTGGCCCTTGTCGGCATTCAAACTCTTTAACTCCTCCCATAAAAGAATGTCAAAACTCTGAGTCATCAAAAATTCACCTAAACCCCCGGGTGTTAAATGTTGTTAATGTGCCAATTAGTTGCTTTTAAGGTGGGCAATACCTGGGTCCATTCAATACAATGCCATACACCCGAGATTGAATTTCTGGTGTATTGGACATTATTCGGCCCAATTCTTTTGTAATAATCGTATAGACTTCCGCCAACACGGCCC